CATTGGGCGGCTCTTCGGGCGGCGCCTCTATCCTCGACTTACATACCGGCGCTCTTTCGATGGCAACTAATTTCGTGAATATCTATAAACTCATAGAAAGTAAACCACAGAAGGAAGAGGTGTTCAGCGAAAAAGACTTTGAAGTCTACAGAACTGTGAAAAACAAAATCCGCGAAACGATTGCAATTCATTTCGGCATCTCTTCGGCTCAGCTCTACTTAACTGATCCGACGTTCTTCTCGAGACTGACGGAAAAGAGCGCCCAAACCAAACACGACGAGTATTGGCACAAACACGTCGACAAACACACCTATAAGTCCTTTCATTTCACTTCTTTGCTCTATTTGTCGACATATGGGGAGGACTTCTCTGGCGGACGCTTCCTCTTCACGGACGAGACATCAAACAACACAATCATAATTGAGCCTAAATTGGGACGACTCTCGGCGTTCACGTCCGGCTCAGAGAACGAGCACTTCGTCGAGAGGGTCACCTCTGGGACCAGATTTGCTATAACTGTGTCCTTCACCTGTGATCCTAAGTTCGCCATCAAAGACCCACAGATTGTTAGACATAAGAACTGATTAATGAAATGTAAATAAATTTTTAAAGCATTTTTTAAATTATTTATTTTATTTCCAAAGTGATAACCGGTGTAACGAGTGCTCTATTAGTATATATTAATTATAATATGGATTAACAGATATTTTGTACTTAAAAATGTTATATCATTTCTATGATAATATGAGTGATAGAATGGAAATTATATATAAAACAATATACAGTATATTGAAACAAACAAAATTAAAATCACATAATTGAGCAAAACATCAAATTGAACTCAAAACAACCGCTCAGTTTAAGATCACTATTAGTGCTAAAAATGCCATAAGTTTTGCTATAAATGATTGGAAATTGAAATAAAGTGTGTAATTGACTTGAATTATTAAATAATAATAATTAAAAGAGATATAAGTTTTTGTATTATCGCTTATTTTGATACAAATATTAAAATCGAGAAAAATATATGTTTATGAAATGAACTCAGATTTCGCCGAAGTTTAAGTGTCCGGTTTCGAGGGCGTGTGACTGGGCCTGACTGTTGCCCGTCAGCCCCGCGTTGCACACCAGACACCGAAGCGAAAAGTTCTGGACATCCGTGAACTGACGGCTCGCTTTGGCCTCATTGGCGATCTCTAACGCCATCGACAGCACCGACTCGTTGGCCACCGGAAACACTGTCTGAATGGGATTCTTGTTGTCCAAGGGTTCCCACATCAACGGGTCGTAATGGATGCCGTCGTATATGAGAAAAATCCTCTGCGAGTGAGCCATGTCTTCGCCGAAACGGTTGAGTCTCACGTTTATGGTGTCGACGGCAACGATTTCGATGGCATAGTATTTGGAGAGAATGGACAGTTCGATGGCTCCTCCCCAGTGCTCTTCATTGAGAATCCACGTGCAGTACTCGCGGTTCGGCTTCCCTAAGAAGGCTTCGTTGTACGTAAAGGTGTCGGCGGCCACAGTGTCCGCGATTATCTGTCTTAAGGCCGATCCGATCGTGTCGTTGAACTCTCCGCCCGACAGAGCGAAGTACACAGACGTGAAGAGACACGAGTTGTTTGCGGGAACCACTCGACGCATGAGAACACCCGCGGGAATGGTATCACTTCTGCTCGAAGACTGCATTACATCCGAATAGGCGTTGGATATCAATTGGTTTGTCGACCGATTCCGTGACCGATGCTTATCTGCCATTATATCCATGAAAACAAGTGTCAATTCATTTGCAATTTATGCCTCAATTGGCTATCAATGCAAACCATAGTTATCGATGACTTCTTCGATGATAAGAGTTTCCCTGTTTTGATGGCTTAAGAGTTCGTCTAATTTCTGGAAATCGTTTCTAAGATTGAGTTCACGCGGAGGAAAGCCTATTAAGACTCGAAGGGCTGACGGATCGACACCAGTAATGCTAAGGATAATGGCCTTCAGGTCTTGGACTGTATTATCTCCAGAGAGGCTCTCAATCATATGCTGTCCTTTCGGTGTTTTGCACCGCAGAAGAAGTGGTCGATTGAGTGCAGCCATCGGTGGTCGATGTCCTCAATTGGTTGACACCATTCAAATGCAAAACAATTAAAATATAGAAAAACAAATAAATAATAACTAAAACTATAATAATATATGAATTGTGAGAATAAAAGCTAATTTACAAACATTTGAATTAAATGTAAATTAAAAGACAATTCAATGAAACATGACTTTTGTTGACATTTTCTGTCCATTCATTGAATGCATTGATTTTTGAATCAATCACTAACTCATTGAATGCCATCTATTGATCACTTTGTGTCACACCTTTCCAAACCATTAATTATGTGCTTATTTGAGTTTTAATTGCTTATAATTAGCGGTTATTTTAATATTAATTCATATTAGTTTTGATTGTATTCAATGTGTTCATAGTTTTCATTAAATTATTTGTATAAATAAATTGCATGAAAATTGTTAGAAAATATAAATATCGTTGAATAGTGAGTGAATTGAAGGCATTATTGATTGAGTGTTGAAAAGCGCCAAAAGTATTGCATTATTTGTTTCAACATTTGAGCGCTTTTTGCAGTTGCAGTTGAGTTTGTGGTCAGAATTGGGATCAAAGTTGCGGTGATATCAGCGACACATTCACCACAGCTGAAGATGTCTGGCAATAGCGAACTGGTCAGTGAATTGATAGCCGTTTGCAATGACCTAGGACATAAGAGCAAACATTTGGACAACAAATACATACTCAACAAACATGACTGCAATCATGTGCTCAAAGACTTGATCCGATTTCTTCGCAACGATGACAGACATACGTTTGCCGTCAGGACTCAGTTGGGCTCCAGTAATATAGTGGACAACGATCTGATCCCTATTGTCGAGCAGTACTGTCTCGAAGACATACCACTGTTTGACAAAATCTTACGCCTTTTGATAGACTTAACAAATCCAGTGATACTTCTGTTCCAACAGAAGACACCGACAGATAAGAGCGAATCCCAGAAGTTTCTGGAGCTTCAGTCACACCTGTATTCATACAAACTGTCCTTCGGCTCGCATAAGAGGTTTTGGACGGTTTTGGCCAAACATTTGACACGAATTATAGGATTGGATGACGAGAACAGACAGATAGAGGACAGCCTTATGTTTGAAAGGATTCTTATACTCATCCGAAATGTGTTACACATTCCCATCGATATGTCCGCCAATCGCATGATCACCGAAGAGCACGTCAACCCTCAGGACCGCATCATTGAAGTGATGCACAGCTCGGGAATCAATGAACTCATCCTTTACTTGTCTAACGATGACTCTCATCGAGAGTTTTGTTTTCATTTGATTGAAATCATGTCTTTGATGTTTAAGGACCAAAGCGCTGAGTTCATCGCCAAGAGTGTCGCCAATTATCAGCAAAATAGTGATCCCAATGGTGACCGAAGAACTCATTACGAGAGAGAACTCGATCGCAAAGAACTCAGAGAACTCAAGACTAGAGATCAGAGTATTTCGACAAAAGTTAAGCCAAATTTGAATCGATTTAATGGCACTTATTTTGTGAAGAATATGAAATCCATTAGCGATAGAGATATCATTTGTCACAAAACACCACAAGATTTGAGTGAAATTAGTTTCGATATCAACAAAGATATCAAACGTAAACTGAATGCCAGAAAACCGATGGCCGACACGATTGCCAACAAGAGTGCGATCGGCCCTCAAGTCATTCATAAGTCGACAATCAAAGTGAGGAAAATATTGTTTGACTTTTGCGTTGAGTTTCTCACCAACTCTTACAACGAGTTTATGCGAAGAGTTTACGACAGTTTGGTCCGCAATCTGAGTCAAGACAACGACGAAACCTATTATCTGTGGGCAGAAAAATATTGTTTGACTTTTGCGTTGAGTTTCTCACCAACTCTTACAACGAGTTTATGCGAAGAGTTTACGACAGTTTGGTCCGCAATCTGAGTCAAGACAACGACGAAACCTATTATCTGTGGGCCATTCAGTTCTTTATGGAGTTTAACAGAACTAATCCCAACGCAATGGATAAGATGTTTGTCTCGGAGACAATGTCTTTGAATTCATTTCATTACCTCAACACTAGAATTGATCACTACATGGAAACAATTAAACTACAGAAACAAGAACTCAGTCTTTGGTCAAAACGACTTCATTTTGGGCTCAAAGCCTATAGAGAACTGTTGTTTAGCTTAAATTGGTTTGATTTCGCCACAGAAGCAGACATTCGGATCAGTGCCCGGAATATTAAGAAAGTCTTCTTCTATGAAACGGAATATAGGGATCAATTGCTTTCACTACTTCATGAGTACAATGAGGTCCGCATGACTAAGACGTTCCTCAAAGATCTCATCGAAACAAATCATGTGTTCCTCAAAATGCTTGAGAATTATTATAAACACAATTCACGGCTTTTGGTTCGCGAGAAAGTGCGAAGAGTTAAGAGAAAGAAGACTCAGAAGAAGAAGGCAGAGGAGGAGAAAGTGCCGCCGGAAGAGGTGTGGAATGATATCATTTCCATTGTATCTGAGGCTCTGTCAGGAAGTCTTGATTTGCCGTCACCTCAAGAGGACACAACTGTCCGCGCGTTTGATCCGATGTCTGAGAAAACAAGTGACGAACAAAAGATGGATGTATTGCGAAGAGTTCACAACTTTTTGTTATCAAAGCGTGTGGTCGAAGCCATCAGTTTATATCGCGACGCAAGGAATTGCTGGACAGGAGATGAAGACAACGCGTTCGGCGCTCAAGACATTCCTCCTGAAGAAGAGTTGCTATCATTGAACGAAATCTTGATGACTGACTTCCCGAATGAGCCCACAGTTGAAGAGCCTAATGATGAGGAAGTGGAGGATGAGGTGGAAGAGGCAGAGGCGGCGCAGAAGACCAGAGAACGAGAAATAGAGTTGAGTGAAGTGGTCAACAAGTATTGTCACCAAAACGTTGTCCGCAATTATTGCCTTTTACTCAAGTCTTACGAGACTAATAGCGATGACACAAACCATTGTGTCCTGAAAATGTTGCACAGAATATCGTTTGACTGCAAAATGCATGCAATGCTATTCCAGGCCTCAGTGTTCCGCACATTCCAGCGAATACTGTCGGACCCGTTACGAGACTCGGGTGCCGTTAAAGAGCTCAAAAGGTTCGCCAAATTTATTCTTTCGAAGTTTGTTTTGGCCGCCAATAAGAACAACAAAATCTTCTTTGAGTTACTTTTCTGGAAGACCTCCGGCGAAGCCTATCAGGTGGAGGAGGGATACCATACCACTCGCAACCTAAAGGCTGCCAAACAGTTATGGACTGAAGAGCAAGAACTCGAACTTAAGGTTTTGTTTGATGAGTACAAGGATAAGGGGAATGCAGACAAGGATTACGTGGATCTCATTGTGGATCACTTGATTGATGACACCAAGACTAGAAGACAAGTGATTAAAGAACTTAAACGACAGGTTTGGCTCTCGATTTATTTGTCTGATAATTAAATGCTAATGAAGTGAATTTGTTTTTAGGAAATTTTTGTTGAAATCAAAAAGAGTAAAAAACGGCCCAAAATTGAAAATAATAATGTCAACAAAGAATACAAAAGCAATGAATTCATTGACGACAACAGCGACGACAGTGAAGATGACACCAGAGTTCCCGAGAACTACGAAACTATTGAAGAAGACAATGAAAATCGTAAGACTTATGATGTGAGCGACGAAGAGGACAGTAATAAGAAGACAGACGAAGACATTGAAGGAGAGGATAGAAATGATATTCAAAAGGAGAGTATAAGTGATGAAAGTGACGATGAAGTCATAAAAGTTAACGAAAATCATAAGAAGAGAGTTAATGTGATTGAAGACTCGAGTGATTCGGATTCAGACAACGACGCCGAAGAAAATATTCTTACGATTAATGAAGACATTGCAGAAGAAGTGAGAACTCCAGAGAAAAGTAAAGAAAATAAATGTGACGACAAGAGTGATAATACCAATGACTCGTCGGACGATTTTGTCGATGAAACTGTTGAAAGGAGTCAAACGAAACGATCGTTGGATGATTCAGATGATGAAGTGGTTGTGGTGTCTAAGAATAAAAAGAGACATTTGATTATTGATGATTCGGATGATGATTGAGAATTATATACATTTTATATAGAATTACAATAGAGTAGTGTTCCTTATACCGTATTACACTACATTTTTTGCACCAATTATTGATACTGTAGTGAATTTTTATATTCTTATCCATTTGAAATGTATTCAAATTATTGCTCAACACTTACGATACTAGTACTGTATTAACATATCATATATTGATTTTTTAAAAATAAATGACCAGTGATGCCATACTATAAACTGAAGGATTCTGNGCCATACTATAAACTGAAGGATTCTGTCATTTGAAACAAGTGAATGTAGCAAGGTATATTAGAAATTGTTAGTCATTATTATCACTAATCTCTTGTAAAATAATTGTTGATAAAAATATATTCATCGATTAATTTGGAAAAATATATACAAATTAAATGAATATTTTTAAAACATATATTTTTTAAATATAATACAAATATGACTCACAATACAAAACCGGGAATTGTTCTCGCTAATTGTAATTAAACCCGACTGAATTATACTGGTATAGTATGGT